TGCATGGGATACTTGGACATGCTCACTATCCAGTTTCTTGGGTGCATTGACTTCCTTTCCTTCCCAGAGTTATTAGACCTGTTGTTTTCTCCACCTGGTATCCCCTCCTCACCTGCCCCTCCTCCCCTGCCCCTCCTCTTCTTGCCTGGGTTGACTCCTACTCTGCTTTCCATCTGAGTGTAACTGTTTTCCTGGTCCTTTCCATTTAACTCAGATCCACCCTCTATACATTCTCATTTTGTTCAGTAATTTTTCTTCACAGCACTTCTTATGTTTTATAATGATATTTACTTATTGAATATCCATCATCTGCATCAGATTATATAAGCCCCATAAAATCAGGAACTGTATTTCTCTTTGCCTTTAGTACCTCCCCACTGATGGATAGATAATAAGCCTTCACAAAGTGTTGGCCAAATGATAAGTGAATGAATGATAACAGCAGAGAGAATAAACAATAATGGTAAGCACTCATTCAACAGAGATATTTCATTAAGGAGAGTAAGGTCATGGCCTCGTGAATGATATATTGGCTGGGAGTCCAAATTGGGAGCCTGGCTTTTCTACTCAGTTCTGTCACTACTTACTATAAAAACAAGGATCCATAGCATCAGTGTGGAGACACTGGCATCTCAATTCTGTAATTAATGTTTACTGGTAATTTTCAAATGGATGAGTTTGGTTTTTCATCTTGTGTTTGCTGCAAAATGATATTTTATATCACCATTGATTGAAAGAAAAAAATCAGAGATAAAACTATATCCTTTGGCCACCAGGAAGAATATATTATTGGTTGAGTTTGTGTCCAATGTACTAGTGAAAATGCATGTTTTTTCATTTACTCACAGGTACTGATGGTTTTAATAAAAGCTGAACATGTTAATTAGAAGGATGATTATCATTGACAAGAAGGAAGTCCAGAATTGTTCTGAATGAACTAGCCAACTCCTAACCATGGACGCCGAGCACTTGACATCCTAATGGGAATTCATTAACAGCGTAGATACTGGAGTGACTGAAGTTGTCTGGGAAGGGCTTAGGCTAGAAATATCAGTTAGTTAGGACAATACTGTTACATCAATTATAGTTTTAGACAAGACACAATAGTGCCAAGCAAAAAAATGTGTATTAAAAAGAAAAGCCATGTTCATATTTCTTGAACCTTATGCCAACTTTGTGGCTTGTTATGGGATGTTAAATCATCAAGAACGTATAACAAGGAAAGCGTACTGCATATAGTAAGTGAATCAAACACTGTCTTGTGCAAAAATATTTATTTAAAAACTGTTCTATCACTTAATACAGGAAAACAGACACCCAATACACTATCACTGTCCTTGAATAGTTAACAGTCATGAGATGAAGATGAGACATTTTCAAAGGAGGACAGATGACCATTCAGCTCCACTGCACAGGGGGATGCCACAGAGCCAGCCCTATCTGTTAAGCATCACCTGAACACAGTAGACAACAGGGTTTTGTGAGACTTAGGCTAAGGGGAGATCTTTGCGGTATAAGTGTGATCATAGTGGGAACTGAACTTAAGTGTGGTCATATTGGGAAGTAGCCAGTCCAGAAGGGACCATTGAAGAAAGGCCAGAAAGAAAAATAAGAAAATATGAATTCTTAGCATTTGCCTTACAGAGAAATTGTATAGAATTCGGCAGTGTAGAAAGGGAACACTTGCCCAATTCTCATTATGTGATCTACAAAACCAAAACCAAAACCAAAACCATGAACCTCATGAGATAGATGGAATGGATATTTTCCCCAAAGAATAAATGAGCTCACCCAAAGTCAGGCCACCAGAGAGTGGCAGAGCCCTCGGCCATTTGATGACTGACCCAGAGCACTTTCCTCTACATAGAGCTTAGAAGGTAGGTTGAGACACAATGGAAAAGCCTTTCCGTGCCAAGTTATAAAATTTGTCTTTTATTCTATGAGAACAAGAAGTAGGCAATGTCTAACTTAGTGAAAGGGAAAGAAAGTAGAATGTACCAGAAACTGCTAGCAGATCATCTTGACATTGGCCTTGGACAAGGCTCTAGGGTGGGGATTTTTAGGGGGAGTTTTTGTGTGCCTGAACACTTGGAAGAATCTTTGCAAGCACAGGTTCAACAAAAAGCCAGTTGGAATAGCTCATTTCCTTCTGTGACAGGCATACAATAGAAAACTGTAGTGTGTACTTCAGTAAGACACTTGCTTCAGATACTGCTGCAGAGAAGTGGACTATGAAGGAATAAGTTCTGGATTAGATTGCACTCAGTTTCAAAGTTGTAGAGGGATACTGAAACTCATCTATCCCTGCTCCATCATTTTACAAATGAGAAGATGAAAGCAAAAGGTGAAATGACTTGCTTAAAGTTACATCCTCCTCATCATCTAATTAGCTTACATATATTGAGATTTGCTATGTATCTGGCATATTCTAAGTGATTAGCCTGTGTTTACTCTTTTAGTCCTCACAGCAGGCCTGTGAGGTAACTGAGAGGCAGGTACATTCAATGACTTGCCAGTGATACAAGACTGTGAGCAACGGAGCTAGAATTTGCACCCAGCAAGTGTGACCTCTGAGTTGGTACGGAGTCCACAGCTAGAGCCTCTCCAAGGCATAAAACCAGTAAGTGGCAGAGCAAAGTGCTAAAGGCACTAACAAATGATATGTCTTTGCTAGATTCTTTTCAACATTTTTATCAATGAGTTAGATAAAACATAGAAAACAATTCATCATATTTTCAGAAGTCATGAAATGAAGGTAGGAATAAGACACTGCACAACAGAAACAGAGTCCCAAAAAATCTGGGATGATGAATGAATCGAAAATGTTTTCATTTTGGGAGAATATAGACAGATATTGTGTGTAGGAGCTTAAACCAAATGAACAAAAATATGATGAAGAATATGCACAGGGATGCTTTTAAAAAAATCCGTGGAAAATGGAATTAAGGAAAATATATTTTGGTGCAAATATTTTTGAAATGGATTTTCTATGAACTTTTTGAAGACCTTTTATCAAAAAGAGAACACAATTTGGGGAACAAAGAGGTTTTAGCAAGTTAATTGAACATAAAGTAACATGTGGAGCCACCAGATGCTAATGCAAGGGAGCAAATGATCCTCCTGAATTCTGTACTGCTCATGTCTTCCAAGCTCTTTCTAAAATAAAATTTTAAAAAATATTTATTTTATTTATTTGAAAGGCAGAGCTTGAGAGAGACAGAGAGATCTTCCATCTGCTGGTTCCTTCCCCAACCCCAAATGGCCACAACAGCCAGATCTGAGCCAGGCTGAAACGAGGAGCCAGGGACTCCAACCAGGTCTCCCATGTAGGTGTCAGGGGCCTGAGCACTTGGGTCATCTTCTGCTGCCTTCCTGTGTGCATCCTTAGGAAGCCGGTTTAGAAGTAGAGCAGCCAGGATTCGGACTGGCGCTTGCATACAGGATGCTGGTGTCATAAGTGGCTGCTTATCCCACTGCACCATAACGCTAGCCCCCTGCCCAGCTCTTGATCCATGCTTTGAGACCCAGCAACCAGTCAAGGGGGCTCCATATTCCCCAAGGCTTCTCTGCATAGGCTTGAAGTGTTCTTCCTCTTTCCTGACCCATTCTTGCTCTGATCCCTAACTTGGCCCCCTCCTTTGTCATCCTGACTTTGTTCCAGCCTCTGACCTTTCATTCTTAGCTTGTGTTCTAGGTTCTAACTTTGGAAACTTGAGTTTTTTCTATGGGGCTCTGACTTGACTTACCTCTCTGGCTGTGGGTCCTGGGCTGCATCTGAAGCAAACTCATTCTTGCTGCAGCCCTTTGAGCTCAGTCCGTGACACTGGCCTTTGGTGAGTGTGCTGATAGCATCTCATGACCCTGGCAACATGTAACACTGAGACGAAAAGATGCGGACCCTATCTGGACTATTGTATCCAAGTTTGGATGACCTCCTTCCCACCATGAGGGGGGTCTATGCAAACTGAAGTACATTACTGGACAAAGGATAGGTTTTGAATAGACTTGAGCACTTAATGATATATGTAGTAACTGGAAGAGCCATGAGCACCTGGAGAACTGGGCACAGACCTCTCAGATTTTGCAGAAGACTCCACTGTGAAAGACCCCCAGATTCTTCTATGTGGCTCCAGGGAATAGCCTTGAACTGGGAGCCAAAGCAGTGAGGCGAAAAAAGAGGCCAACTTCAACTCAATAGAAGACTTTCTCTTAGGAAGAGCTGGCGAGAGATAGAAGGGGACATTAGTGAGTGCCCCATTATTGGAAGTGTTGAAGTATAGTCTTAGCAGTGCCTTGCAGGAATGCTGTACAACTCCCAAACATCAAAGTGGTGCTCAGACTCTGTCGGTCCATTCCAGCCAGGAGAGACTCTGTGCCGAGGGGACCCAGAGGTGGACTCTAAACAGGTAGCATGATGACAGTGATGCAGAAGGTGGATCCATCCCCTCCAAGTCACCACCACCACCAGACAACACCTGTTCTTCAACGGGCAGTTTTTCAGGTGAGCGGGCACTGGCTGCCAACTGCAGGTGGTGTCCAGCTTTCCTTTTAAAGTACAACAGATGCTTCCAGCTGCGAAAGCAGGAGAGGCCCATCCCGGGACTGAAGCAAGGGCCACTCTATTTTCGTTTTCCCAGTCGCTGGGGCTCCAGCCTCCTGCAATTCTAATGCCGTGCCTATGAAAGGGCTCGGCTCCCTCTTGGCCCCCACTCCCAGCCCCTCTCACAGATCCAACACCAAGTGCATCGGGCAGCTAGACGCCAGAGTGGGAAAAAGCATTTTAATAAAGCCCCATTGATTTTCGTGGGGGCAAGTCAAGGAAAAAGGCACCTGGAGCGCCTCCCCCATGCCCCCTAGCTCCTGACCTACTCCAGGGCGGTCACACATCGATTGGCTTCCTAGACAATAGATGGTGCCACCCGGGAGGGACCTCAGGGGACCAGCTGGGAGCTGGAAGAGTCGCACGCAGCAGCCCAGCCCCGACTTAATCAAACTAGCAACAGGATCTCGGGCGGCAGCGACGCGGTGGCGAGAGTCGCATTGGCGGCGGCGGCAGCGGCGGCAGCATTATGCGTGATTACTGACAGGCACCAGCTGCCTCCGCCACAGCCGCTCCAACGCACTATGTGGACTCTCGGATCTCCAGGCAGATTCCTGACTAATCCCAGAGGGCTGGCCCAGCCCCTGCTCCCAGGGCTGCGAGGAAGCGATGACCACTCTTGTTAGCCCAAGTTGAAGGGAGCCCGGCTGCGCCTGGGAGCCGGGAAGAGGCCGTGAGATTGAGCAGCCGCAAGCAGCACAGGATTATGAACTGAAGAGCAAACATGTATGGGAATTATTCTCACTTCATGAAGTTTCCCACAGGCTTTGGCGGTGAGTCTTCCACTTGGGCTTCCCAGGGTGGACCTGTCCCAAGAGAGCAGAAGGAAGCCGGGGAATCAGAATGCCGGGATGAGCATTGAATGAGACGGCGATCATGAGTGTTTATGTGCATCTATAGTGGTGCAGAGCTTGTTTCTGCTAGTGTGTGTGCGTGTGGGGGCGAGACAGAGGGAGTGAGGGGGGCAGAGAGAGAGAGAGAGAGAAGAGAATGGACCACAGGTGAGGATATGTGTGCATACAGAATGAGGATTTGGAGGTAGTGTCAGCTGGGTTCTAAATCAACATGCTTTAGCGTGTATCTCAGACAAAGATAGAGCAAGAGCATTGTTACACACAGATGTGTTTGTGTGGGTGTGAAAAGTGGAAGAGTGAAAGGCAGATTGCTAGGATGTATCCAGTATCCGAACTGTGCGGGCAAGAACGCGGCTGGAGCGGTTTCACCTGTGTGAAGGGTCCCAGGGTACTTTGTAAACAAGGGCGTGATTGTTTTCCTGCAAAGCAGGTTTCCCTCTAATTGGATTTTTGAAAAGAAAACACAGTCCTTTAGTTTGCCACCCGGTTTTCCCTCCTGCGTTTGCTTCCCTTTTGATTTGCTAATAGCCTCTTTCTCCTCCCCTGCTGTTGGCAGCCCCCTTCCCAACGCTGGGGTCCCTGCTTCTCTCTGACTCTGCTGGGTCAGGATGTGGGGGCAGGGGTCTGGGCTCTTATAAGCATGCAAACTGGAGATCCCAGTTAGTCAGCCAGGCAGGGCGACCCGGTCATACCTGATGGAAGCTTCCGGAGCCTGAGTCCCAGGGCTCCTTGATTCAGTTGGCAGAAGTAGCTCGGTCCCCCAGCTTGGAGTAAATAGAACCTGCATCTGACCAACTGGCCTCTGGCTCCTCAGTTGGTGGCACGGAGCTCCTGCTCCTGGGAGCCCAAAGGGGAGCTCTTACCCTATAGATTCTGGCAGGCAGGACAAAGCAGATATTTTGTAAGGTCTGGAGCACTGAAAAGTTCCTGCTCTGTTGACATTGTCTGTGAACCGATAGCCGATCCATCTGCAGGCTTGGGAATAAAGCTTGCCTACTTTGCTGGCCAGAACCTTCTATGAGGCACGAAGGGACATTGCAAGGTGGACTTGGTCTCTGCTGGGGAGGTGTTAAGCAGTGGTGGTGGTAGGGGTTGCTTATTCATTCTGGCTCCCTTGGGTAGTTCCTCTCAGCCAGGCACTGGGCATGCAAATGTGAGTGAAACAGTCTTTAGTTCTGCGCCAGGCTCATTAGACAGACACATTATAATATTGGGTGATGTGTGCAGCCTCAGAGGCATGAGGAGGCTGCTGCTTGGACCCAGAGGTAAGGGGCTGTGGCAGCGTTCCAGAGAGAGAATGTTCAAGTTGTTTGGGTCAGTCTGATGACAGAGTGAGAGTGGCAGCCAAGACTGTGACCTGGACATTTGATCTCCAGTTTATAGCTGGGCCCCTTTCAGCTCCCTTCTCAGTCCTACCCAGAGCTGAGAATTAATTTTTTTCTGCACATCTGAGTTTGGTTGTTGGAGGAGCAGCCCGAGTCTTGGAACCTTGAGCTCTATGAGATGCTGGCTTCCCAAATGCCAAAGAGACCCTGGGAGACAGTTGGGGTGAACAGGAGAGCTGAAGGTAGAAAGGCTAGGGGGAGTGCTAAAGTAAAGGCCAGAGAAAGAAGATGTGGTCTAAAGTTCCAGCGAGGGGGCTGCTTGCTCGGATCTTGGAATTTTTGTATCCTAAGGGTCCTTTAAGAGCACCTTAGATCTACCATTCTACAGATGTGTAAACTGAGGCCTAAAGGCAGGGACTAGCCCAGGTTGCCTGGAGTTGAGGTGCAGAGTACTTCCAGAGAGGCTTCTTTCTCAAATTTTTAACACTATTATTTTAATACTGGTATAGTCAACAGAGAGGGGAAGCAGAGAGAGAGAGAAAGAGAGAGAGAGAGAGAGGAGATCTGAGTTTGGTTCCTAGGTTTTTACTTACTGCCTTGTGTGACTTTAGGCAAGCTCCTGAACCTCTTTGAGCCTTAGTGTGTTCATCTCTAAAATGGGCTAAATAATCTCATCCTTACGGTTGTGGGAACTAAATGAGCTAGCACAAGAGAAAGCAGCTGTCCCTATATGCAGTACCTAGTACAAGTTAATATTTTCATCGCCTTGTTTTGCTCAGATACCAAGCTGAACATTAGTTTAACAGTGAGACATGACTGTACAATGAGGAAGCAGGAATATGGGAAAGTAAATCCCATAAAGACCCTCGTATTTTGTGGGATGAGGTTTTCCACATTGTGGGGACTCTAGGGTTTTAGTGAAATTAGATTTCAAGAAGGGAACATCACAGTGCAGCAGGGAAGAAAGGAGTTTGCTGTAACGTGGGAAATGCCCGCCTCTTCTGCTGCTTTTCCTTGTCATTCCTGAGGGAGGTGAACCATGTGGTTGCTTCTTGTTGATGTTTTCCTTTTTGTTTGCATGCACCAGTGAAGGACTCAGCCCATCTGCTGGGAGGTCTGAGAACTCCCAGTGCCCTAGGCACAAGGGACATTGGAGAGGACCTCACCTGCAGCTCGAGCCACCTCACCCCTTTGCAGCGAGTTACAAGGCACTTACTGAAGGATCAGGGCTGTAACCCAAAGGAAACCACAGAGTGAGGACCTCTGGGGAAGTGACGTCACCCTTGAGAAATAGCACCCAGGATTTGTGTTTAGGGCCATGCTTTCCAGATGTCAGAGCACCGTCGGGTCAGTGAAGGAGAGACGGGCCCTACTGGCCGGAGGTGGTGGCCACCTGGGCTGTGGTGGCCCCACCAGGGCATCCACTCTCCCTCCCAGTTCTGGGCCTCTGCAGTGAGAGAGCCTTTTTTCTTCTCCTCCTCTGCCAAGTCCTCGGTCTGCCAGCTGCTCAGTAAGAGATTTGTTTTTCTGGGATGAGACAGTTGCTGCCTCTTAGAAGATGGCAAAACAAAGCCTGTAATCCCCCCATCCAATTGTGAAGTAATCCTCGGGGTGAGAAGGAGATCAGGGGGAGAGGGGCTTCGTGCCTCTCACAGAGCAAGCACACTGGAACAGGAATGCCTGCCACCCCTCTCGGCACTCGCCTACTTTCAACTCACGTAATCCTCAGAACAACCCAGTAAGTAGGTGCTAGTGCCAGCATGGTCACGCTCCTTTTGTGAATGAGGGGACGGAGGCATCGGGAGACAAAATAACTTGGTTAAGGTCTCACAGCTGGACAATGGACTGGTTCCAGGGCCTGTGCTCTGTTGAGCTGCCTCTCACAACTTCTCTGTGTGACACTGTTGCCCCGAGAGGCCGGGGACAGCAGCTACCCAACTGGGGGTCGGGAGCCCCAGTCCAGTCTCAGAAATGTAGCTTCAGCAGTGACTGGCGTTTGCACACACTATGGCCTGGCCATTGAGGAATGCACTGCAGGATAGATTAGGATCCACTGAGGAACAGGGACTCCAGGATGTGCAGAAGTCCTGCCTGGCCGACCTTGCTCACGAGTAGAATGTCCGCTTTCCATCCAAGAAGAGCCACAGTGAGGGGTTAAGTCGTTGGTTCTTGTGTGGGTCTGTGCTTGCGTGTGTACATGAGTGTGTGTGTGTGTGTGTGTGCAGGACATGTTTTTCTCCATCCTCGGATGTGTGGGTGGCTAATTGGAGCCTCCGTGGGTGTAAGTGGTTGGGGTTTGTGTAGGAAGGAGGAACAGTTTATGAGATGTAGGAAGGAACATATTTAGTGTAAACTATTTTCTGAAACATTTACAATCTTACCAAGAGATAGGGAGCTGAACAGCAACTGGGAGAAGACACTGTGCAAAGAGGAACCTAAATGCTCCACACTCCCCTCCCCCTCATTGTGTGGCTTCTGGATGTGCAGGGAACTCAGCCACCAGCATCAGATGCCTGCCTGGCAGGTGCCCCTGGAGGAAGCTGGTGTTCTTGCCTCTGATTTGGAAGGAGAAGACAGAGGCCCAGGGAACAGAAGCAGCTGATTTTCTACAACGCCTGGGTTTGGGTGACTCTGGAGATGGATTCAGTCTTGGGTCAGAAATCCTCACAAAACATTCAGAATAGTAGCCAGCATTGCTAAGGCACCTGCCACGTGCCAAGCCCTGTTCCAGAGGCGTGTCACACAACATCTCATTTAATCTTTTCAAAGACCCTTGGGGTGGGGAAGGGGGCGGTACCTGTCATTGCCACCATCCCCATTTTACTGGCAGGGAAAGTGGAGTCACCAGGTTGAGGATCACCCAGGATCACCAGGCTGCGAGGAGAGCAGCCAGGACCCAAATCCAGGAAGTTATGTGCCTTGGTGGCAGTGCTTACGGCTACCCTGTGCTTGCAACCCCCATGATGGGGTGGGGTTGGAGGATGGTGTCTAGGGGTGGAGTCCCCAAACAGCCCCAAATGAGTGGATTATATGGAAGAACATCTAGGATATTCCATTCTTGCCCTATGTTTTTCACAACTTATGCATCATAACACAGTTTTTTTTCTTTTGAACATACAAAATTTCAGCAAAGAAATAAAATAACTTAGGTAGGGGCAGGGGACGGGGCCCTCCAAGGCTAACATGCTTTTCTGGTAGATCTTAATCCGGGGGACCCGCTTTTCCATTCTGGGGCAAGAGTTGGCAAACTTTGTCCCTACAGGGCCAGAGAGCAGATATTTGAGTCTCTGCTGGCTCCCTGGTTTCTGACAGCTGCTCATGGGGTGGGTCCACTGTAACACAAAAGCAGCCGTAGTTACTGCATAGACTCATGTGCACAGATGTAGCTGTGTTCTGGAGAGTCTGCTGGCTCCTAGGGCATGGATCATTCCAGAGAAGTTTCCTTTCCATTTCTGGCTGCTCTTCGGTTAGCAGCCACTGCCAACACTTTGGCTCTGAGCCGCTCTGCCTTCCGCTTCTCTGTCAGGAGGCTGAAATTCCAAATCTAGACAGAGGAGCCTGCGGATCATCTGGTCTGTGCCCTCAGCCACAGGG